GGAAGGAAACGCCCAGCTGGCATGGAGCTCCGCGGGGTTCCCAGGACAGCCACCACCACCAGGGACGCCACCCCAAACGGGGAGGAGGCGACAGGGACAGGCAGGGGGGGCACCGGCAGCGCAATGGTAACTTCCATCCCCGCAAGGGCACCTCGTACCCGGACAAATTCCCCAACGAGGAACGCAAGGACAGCAAGGACGACAAGCTGAAGTTTGTGGAGGAGGACTTTGTGAGTAGTTGACCTCCGTTTTTCCTGTTACATTACAGTGCAATAATTACTGGAACCATTTTCTCCTTTTCAATATTTGCCTTGTAATAGAAGCAGAAGAGGATTTATGAGTGTTATGCCTCATAGTCTGTACTCAGATTATTGCCTTTAAACATAACTTGTAATTACAAAATTTGAAAGATTACATATTTAATGTAGGCACCTGTTTATTTGTATTTTTAGCCTTCGCTCAACCCTGAAACAACTGGAAAGCCTGGGGCTCAGACACGAGCAGTCGCTCCCCACGCTGGAGTATGGGGTAAGCTTTTTGCCCTGACTCAATTTCTGTGCTCAAAAAGACAAAAGATTTTTTTCCCTTGCACCATCATCTCTAAGATTTCATTTGATTGTCTTGATTATGTTCCAGAAAATCCACCAAGTGGCAAACAGATGGTGTCCAAAATGCTGGTTATCAAAAAAATTTCCAAGGAGGATCCCAGCACAGCCTTCTCTGCAGGGTTTGCCACTGCTGGTGCCCTGCCAACCAACGGCAGCAAAGCTCCCATCACAGGCTCCAGCATCTACAAGAACCTGGTCCCAAAGCCGGCTGTGGCCCCTACCAAAGTATGACTGCCGAGATGTTTTAATGAGTTAATTAACAACTTGCTTGATTCCATTTCCGAGAGAAGAATTGCTTATCAAGCAAATGTGCATAATAGAGATAACACCGGTGCACTGGCCAGCATGCATGGTAGCCTGCAGTAAAAGAGTTTTTAAACACTCTCATGTCCTCTTTTCCAGAGCACCCAGTGGAAATCCAGTGGTAGAGAGATCGCAAAGTCTGGTCTTCACATGCCAGGCCGAGATTCAGTCTTCACCAGCCCCGTCTCTGCAGCCAAACCCAGCACCCCAGTCAGTGCACCACAGCACAATACTACAAAAGAGGTGAGAAGAAGGATGAAGCAACCCCAGTCAAAAGCAAGCAATTTTGTGAAGGTCTTGCTTTGCCGTTACTACAGATGTGTCATTGTTTCCATGCTTTGAAATCAGTTGAACAGATAGTTTAGATCTCTTGCACTGATGTCTCAGGTAACAAAAATAATAATATTAACTTTTATTTCTCCTTTTCTGTCTCTTCGTGACTATTTGCGGCTCACACCTGCAGCACCCTTCAAGCACGACTCCTCCCATAGATATTGCTCCATCACGGCTGAAGTTGATGCGTCGCGGTCCAGACCGTAAGAGCGAGTTCCTGAGAACTCTGAAGGACGAGGGCACTGGAGAGCTGACAACAAGCAGCAGCCCAGGAACATCAGGAGAGGTAGGCAGCAGCACCCATTAAGCTAAACACAGGGCCAGAGCAAAATTCATCACACTGCTTCTTCTTTTTACGTCTCTTCTGTGCTTGTGTCAAGCTGCATGAAATTCCGTATATGGTCATGGTTCCTTATACGAGGAAGTGTGCCTCACAGCTCGTGGGTTGTTTATAGAAGCCAGGCAATGGGCAGCCAATCACATGAAGGGATTATTAGGGAAGGGGACCTGCACAGGTCCTAACTGTAGATCATTTAAAACCTCAATCAAAATGTAGAGCTAGAGACTAGCATAATAGATACACTTTAAGAGAATGTGCTGCTGAATGTGGAACACGATCATGGTCTCTGCATTCTCTGCACGTAGAAGTCATGTGTGAAATGTAATGTTATGGTCCTGGATAAGAGCTTTTTGTCAGCACATAAAGGACAGCTGGGGCTAAACTTAAAAATAATTCTTGCAGGGTGAAAGCAGCACCCCAGAGCCCAAAGCCTACAGCGAGGAAGGCTGTCATGAGAATGGTCTGTCTTACTCTCTGAGTGACTCAGACACCGAACACCTGTCCAGCTCCCTGGAGGCAGAGCACAGGTAGGACACTGCTAACAGCCTTATATATACACACAGGCCAAAACGCACAGACAGCTAAGCAGAAAATTACTATGCTTATCTAGGTTGCTGAAGGCCATGGGCTGGCAGGAGTACCCAGAAAATGATGACAACTTCCTGCCTCTGACAGAGGACGAGCTGAGAGAGTTCCAGACTAAAACCGAACAGGTGAGCTCTCAGAGGAAACGCTGACTTTGCTTACGTCTAGCTCAACTCAGTCTGTCTCACACATTAAACGACGTGATTGTGTTTTGACCAGCTGAAGAGGAACGGCATTCAAAGGAATGGGGTTCTCCCGAGGACACGGGGTGTGACCCTCCACTTCACCCCCTGGAGGAGTGTGGCGGAGGCACACGTCGAGGAGGGCTCCGAGTCCGAAACCAGTAGCAGCAGCCAGACCTCTGATGACGACGACTGCATCAAATCCTAACGTGGCTTTATGGAACAAAAAGAAGAAGAGAAAAAAACACAACAACACAACAACAGCCAACACCACATCCCAGCAAGCAATTCCCCTTTTCCTCTGTCATCTTTGTTTTTAGAGCACCATTCTGAAGATCTTTCTTTTTTGATTTTGTTTTTTTGTTTTTGTTGTTCTTGCACAAGGGAAAAACCAATCATATCCCAGTGAAGGGGGAGATTCCTGCTCTGCCAGACGTCGTTTTCCCTGCGTTTCCTCCTTCACTGCAGTCCCTGCCCTCTTTTGACCGATTTTCCACACACACACACACACAAACCCTCCGTCTCCCCCCTTCCTTTTTCTTCCTCGCTTTGTGGAACTGAAGTGTTCATCAAGAAAAGAAGGGCAATGAATGCACACTTGATTCTGCTTTAAACAGACTAACTCATTTCATTGATGATGCTGATGACACATTATTAATGATATTAATAAAAATTGGTTCCTGACAAGCTGATATGTTTCAATATGAATCTGGCTACTGTGGTGTTTTTAAGTCCACACATCATGTGACTATTTTTAGATGGAGTCCAAATGATGCTAGTATTTCCTGTAGGACAATTGTTGTTTCTTGAAGGACAGAGTAGCAGAAAAACAGCTGTAGATCAGCCCGGCAACATCTGTAAATGCAACACTGAAACATTTTTGTTATAGAAAAGTTCCAGTTTCCCACATATGCAATGCTTTGAGAGGCTGTGCTTTAATTTTGGGATGAAATGTGTAAGCAGACTTGTTTTTGTGACCCACATTGTGAGCAGCAGGTCTGTGGCTACATCTGAAACAAAAACATTAATAACCTTGCAGCAGATGTAAATTCAGTCTGAGAGGGAGCGAGATTCCTGCACGTCCTGTAGGCTGGGTTTAAGTTCATGTCAGGAGATTCACAGGCTTGTGGCTGAGATCCGGTGAGTCGTGGACAAAAAAAGTTGTTCTCACAGGAAGTAAGAAGTGGTGGGATAATGCAGTATTTAAATTTAAAGTATTGTGTTTTTTCAGCCCACATAGATGGGATTAGAATAGAGAGCGGGGGAAGCTGCAGGAGGAGGGAAGTTTATTTTTCTACAAGTTTTTCTAGATTTCTCTCTTCTGCAGCTTTAATCATCATGATTTCCAAAACATTGCTGATAATATGTTGAGATTTTGTCGGCCTTTAAAACTAATATATAGCTTTAAATCCTACATGTCTTTGACACTTCAGTTTGAGCTTTTTTTCTTCGGTGCTTTCAGTTTTGTTAGCAGGGAAAGCACCATGGTTATATAACACTGAGAATGGCTTCATATTTGCATTCACATTTCAGTGTCCCAGTGAGCCAGCGTGCACGATAAAGGGCCCAGGCATTTTAATTAGCCATAGTGATTATTGCTATTACTATAATTAGCTGCATGTGTACCTCTTCTTCTCTGGCAAATGAAGATGTCTTCTCCTATATGTCTGTCTTCCCATTATTGTTTACCTCACAGGGGGAAGAGCTAGAAAAGAGTGCTATAGATTGCTGTTTAATGAAACAACCAAGTGTGACCAGTCATGTCTGGTTTAGACAAATTACAAACCATCTAATCAGCTGCATCAAGTCAGAACATCTTCATACACTATTCTCAATGAGCTTTTAACTCTCATTGAACATGATCTACAGTCTTGTCCTTAAGACATAAGATAATGCAACAAAAACATGAAAATGCTCATCACAGATCAGGTGTTGCTGTAAAGAAGCCATTTTTAAGGGAGTGAAACAAAAGGATGAGGTATGCCAAATTTTACAAATATAAGAACTGGATTAAAAGTCAGTGGCAACAATTTTATAGAGTGATGAATTTAATTTTGAACACTTTCATTCAAATTGTCAGTTTGTATAGGAGACCAGGAGGGAGGTAAGGCAGTGGGTGTCTACAGCCTTCTGTAAAACACTGGAGGGTGTGTCATGGTTTGGGGCTGCATTTCAGCCAGGGACGTCAGGAGTCTTGTCAAAAATTTATGACTGCAGAAATTTTGATCCACCCTACGTAGAACTAAGCCAGGAGAAGTATTGGAAGCTGAAAAGCATAAATAGCATCAGAAGTTTTTAGCAATTAAACCGCCAGTGTTATTAATCAGGTTAGTACAGAGCCTTTGTTTATCTAGTGCTTTATCCAAGCGCAGGCTGTCAGTTACTGCACAGCTAAATTTTCCTTTTCGTGTATTCAGCTTTCAGCTCTGAGGCCCAGGTTCTTGCATTCTCTTGATTAAACTGCACTTTTGCTCTCAGCATGGCACACTGAATCCTCTCTTCAAACCACATGGTTAAATACAATAAGTCAGACTGAAGAATGCTGTAGAACCAGTATGACTAAAGGAGCCACTTATGTGGTGAGTACAAACATTTATGGACAGTTCATCAACTGCCAGAAAACAAAACATTTTCATGGCTCCAGTAATGAAGGTTTAACACACAGGTTTATCCAACCATCTTTATTGAATTTTACAGTATAATGTCAAACACTACAGAACAAACATGTATTTACAACAGCAAACATGTAAGAGACAGTTAAGAGCTTGTTGTGCTGGTGAATCTCTTCTTGAACGGAGACAAAGTGCAGCTTCACTTACTGAAATAGACAATGACAGGATTTCAGACAAGTTCAAGGTTGTAAATAGTAAACGGCACAACAGACAGAAATGACACCTCACCTTTCGACTTCCATATCATTGGCGTGTTCACCTGCATCTCCATTAGTGAGAAGCTTTTCTCCTGGCTGACTGTTGTCCTGCTTCACCTTCTTCACATCCTCCTTCACCGGACTCTCCTCTGGTTTCCTCTGCAATACATGGCAGCAGTCAAACGAGGCTCACCATTATAGCTACACCACATCAATGCAAGTTAAAAAAAAACCTCACCTTCTTTCTGACCAGGTGGGAGATGTCAGAGACTGCAGCTGTGGAGGTGTTGCCAGTGGAAGTGGATGTGCTTTTAATCTGTTTGGAAGTTAAACATCACACTTATTTTACAATCCTGTTGGGCTTAAGTTTGATTCACAAAGTGTGCCATGAAAACTTGTAACTGACCTCTGAAGTGGAAGAAGAGTCGCTGTTCTTTGCAGTGGAACCATCACAGGCAGAGGAAGTTGAGCCTCCATCCTGAAACAGATTGCACATGCAGCTCAAAGAGAAGCCAAAACTTGTGGCGGATCATCCAAACATTTAAGATGGATTAGGATTCGTTTTCAAGCCCCTGGAATTTATTTGTAAATCATTGTGTAGATGGCGCTTTGCATGGACCATGGTTTATTGGATTATACAACTTCCCAAACTCTGATGCACAGGTATGATGGCGGCTATGCTGTGATCATCTCACAAAAGCCTGCTGTTCACCGGACCTTACAGAGGGAGGTGTGACTAATGGATCAAGTTCCCAAATATTTTTCACCAAGTGGTTTATTTGTGAAGACGCGTAGCAACAGAACACAAATAGAAAAACGGAACTTCACATGTCACTGAAGCACCAGCATAGAGCATGTATTTTATGAATCCCATTTAACAACTAAACTAAACAATTCAGGCATCATGCTTGGTGGATAGCACCACCTTAACCAGTGCATATTGATCACCTGTGCTCTGATGACCGTCCTCCAGCTAAATCAAACTCCATGCCAAACTCACCAGCGCGTCCTTCACAGCCGCGCTCGCCGTCTTCAGGCTTTCAGTGGCGTCCTCCACCTTCTCCTGGATCTCTGGCAGCAGAGCTTTGAGCTCCTCCAGCTCCTTCCTCTCCTCTGGCAGAGCCTCTGGACCTTCGGCTTTGTCAAGCATCTCCTGCAGCTTGTCTGGAATTGTATTAATAATATTAATTATTGCATTGATTCTCTGGAAGCCAATTTCACTCCAGGAGCCGATGCTTACCAAGCCTGTTCTTTATGATAGAGATGGAGCTCTTCAGAGACTCGATGGCCTCGCTGTACTGCGTGTTCAGGCTATAGGTCAGACCGAGCTGGTAGTGAGTCTCTGCCAGCAGGCGGCTGTCTGAGTCCAGGTGCTTCACCTGCAGCTTCAGACACTCCTGGAAATCCTCCAGTGCTTGTGGATAGTTCCCTGAAAAAGAGAAGCAGCAAATCAACACCTGACATGTAAAAAAAAACAAAAAACAAAAAAAATAAAACAAACTCTGCATTCTCAGAGTTTCATCCACTGTTCAGGGTCAGCAGGCATGGACACTGCAATGAGCTGAGAACAGTACAGACTTCATCAGCTAAAGATTTGATCTTTAAGTGGTGATGCGACCGAGGAGCCAGAAACTCTTCTCTAAAAACTGTCCCGTAACTACCGGGTGTGGATGTGAGCATCCACTCAGAAAACTAGCATTTCAAAAAGTTGAAGCTGAGACATTTTATGGTTCAACTAATTTAGGCTGCCCCCAAGTGGGCAAACAGCACAACAGCAGATTTAATTTTAGCTGTGTTACAACCAAGTTTTAGGTACACAAAACAGAACTAAAGAAATCTCAAGCTGCTCACAGACTTTTAGTCCTGACAAACTGAGCACCGCTGCAAACACCGAGCCATCAACACAGCTTCAAGCTCAATGCATCAGAGAAAACTGAGATTATGTGCAAAGCTGCACATTTGTTCAGACCTGATTCAGCAGAAACTTCACCCAGTTTCAAATGAGCCTGGGCTGCCATTAGCTGATCCTCCTTCGTCTCTTTCCTTTTATGAGAACAAAGAGGAAACTGTTACAAGCTTGAAATGCAGGTGCAACATGATAAGATGAAAATCATGGCTTTGAAGTGTTTCCTTTACCTTTTGTAGATGACTTTGGCCACTTCTAACATCTCCCAGGCCAGCTGCAGGTTACCCACCTCCTCATCGTCACTGTCCTAAAAGAGGAACACAGAAAACATGAAATTCAAAATTCGCAGTCAGCCGAGTCCTTTTTTAACATGCGAGCCGTTTGTTCAGTACCTTCTCCCCAGTGGCGTCTCCTTCACCCTGCTCCTCTGGTTCACCTTCCATTTCTACATCGTCGCCTCCTTCCTCCTCATCTTCCTCGCCATCTACAAGCAAATGTCATGAGTTTAGATACACTGCTGAAGCATGCTTCAGCAGCTAACACTGCTATTACCAAGCCAGGATCAGGACAGGAGGAGCAAAGGTCACCTGCTTCCTCCTCAGCAGCTGCTTCTTCCTCTTTAGCAGCAGAGTCCATCTTCTCAGCTGGCTCCTCTTCTTTAGCAGCAGTCTTGTCCTTCTTAGCGGCAGAGTCCTCCTCTTTCTCCTTCTTAGCGGTGGCAGAGTCCCCCTCTTTCTTCCCCTTAGCAGCATCAGCAGAGTCCCCCTCTTTCTTCCCCTTAGCAGCATCACCAGAGTCCCCCTCCTTCTCCTTAGCAGCAGGTTCAGCGTCGTCCTTTGCATCCACTTCCTCCCCACTCTTTTCCTTCTTATCTTTACTTTCAAATTTGCTTTCATCATTCTTATTGTCCTTTTCAGCCTCCCCCTCTACTTTTTCGGTTTTTTCCTTTTTGTCACCAGCCTCGGCTCCTTCCGTCTTCTCCTGTGGATCCCCACTCTGCTTCCCTTCAACCTTCTCCCCGTCTTCAGTTTTCTTCTCCGCCATGGCGTCGTACACCTGCACCCTCAGCTCGTCTCTGGTCTTTTCTGTTGACAGCAGAACAGTTGGGAATGATGTGTGCACATTTAGATTAACCGTAACGAGCCAAATATCACATTATTCCCTTACCGTCTACATTGTCTATGCTCTCAACATTGGAGTCTTTGGGTTTCTCTTCTTCTTCCTCCTCCTCCTCCGGCACTCCCTCTAGAGCATTACCCAAGACTGAGTTCTCCATCCTACAACAAGTCTGGCAGTCAGAGCAGCCCCTCCATCCTCACCTTAAAGAGCTGGACATTCATGTTTAAACCTGATTAACCTACCGTGCCAAATCCAGGAGAGCTTTGCCATACCAGAAGAAAGCCTCGCCACATTCGTCCGCTGTGTCTCCAAACTCTTTAGCCCTATAACAAGAATTTACCATTTATTTTTGAGTGAAAAAGCAGGCATCCATTACTGCTCAAGTGCTGCTTCAGAACAAATTAGAAAGATTCCTGGAGTTAATAAAAGCTAGGCGTATAAAAAGGATTAGCGAGTGAATTATTCAAACTAGGTTTAAGCTTAAACAATAAAACAGAACCTAATGGAAATGAAATATATAAATTAAGAAAAACACTAAGCTAAACTAATGTCACTGCTTTCTGGTCACATGCAAAGAACAGCTGCAGGCAGTTTGTGATTTGCATAAACACGCTCAAGTTCATTTTCAAACACCAGAGGGGAGAAAAAAAAAGCGGCCGTTTTGCATTTGCACCAATCTGCACACCTGCTCAGAATCAGCCTGCACGAGCCACTGTCACCTATAAACTCTTCAATCATGTAAACAGTGAAACACACGGTTTAGTTTTAAGAAGCCCAAGTGAGCGTTTTAAAAGTAACCACGAGGGCCACTTTATGGGCCCTTTGTGGGACCGTTTCACGTTCAACCTCACTGAAACTCCAGCGTGACTTGAGGGTAACTCACAGCATGCCGCTGGCCTCCTGCAGGGTGCTCACAGCCTCCACTACCTTCCCCATCACCAAGTGCTTCTTCCCGGTACCAATCAGCTTGTTGGCCTCCTCCATGTTTACCACACCTGACGGAGAGAAACAATCGGTCAGCTCAGCTCCCTGCCTGGTCTCTGAGCTCAGGTCAAACTGTACCTCGGCCTTTGGTACCAGTTTGTATCGTTAAAGTTTAAATAGCAGAGAGGCCACTACACACCTTTGACGGGGAAGAGCAGTTTAAAAAAAAAAAAGACCTCCGGCGGCGCGCGCGTCACAGCTCGTGTCTCGTGCCGCTCAGACTGACTGTGTTCCGTTGTTTCAAATTGGCGCGAAATACCCCTGCTCCTTCCGGTCGCTTTCCTTATTTGTAGACCCGCGCGGGAGAATTCTTAAAGGTACAAAGTACTAACAAGAGGACTGCAAGTACCGCTGCTACAGTTACATGCATTACTACCTCAAGTACTTCTGCTGCTATTGTTATACTGCTCCTTGTATTACCACTCCTATTCATTATACTACTCTTCCTTCCAGTGCAATACTAAAAACAACAATTGAAACTGTTATAATGAGTACTGTTGATGGCAGCCCCGTTATTATTGTACACACTGGCTTCCCAACAACCATTAATCTTTGAGACCTTCAGGAAGTGTTCCCTAAAGCTCGCCTGGGGATCTTAAGGTCGTTTTGCAACACTTTTAAGAACCTTTGGTCATTTTGTTTTTTATTTCTGGTAATGTCTCCACCACTAAAACAACAACAACAACAACAACACAATTATAAAATATTAAATAAATAGGATATTTTGAAGAAAATGTCTTCAAATATGTAAATTATCCACACAAATGTGACATATATGTTACATGGTTAGATCAGGTCAGAGTTATTTCTGTGACCTGCTGTTTAGTGTGAATAATGTTTTTTTGTCTTAGTTCATAGACAGTGGCACAGTAAAAAAAAACAACAACTATGATTGAAATAAAACGTACCATTATTGAGTCATTTATTGGATCATTTTGCAATGGTATAGTATTTTACTATGTAAGTGAAAGTAAAGAAATGTAGGTGATCATTTTTTTTTTTTGTAACAATGCTTTTTAGCAATAAATCCTGTACTGTTGGAAATATTGTTTATTTTCCCCATCAGTGGTGCCACATTTGTAAGGAAAATGCATTTGTTGGTTGAGTGTGTGGGTATCTTATCTGCCAAAAAGCTTGTTCTTCTATTGGCTCTTGTTTTGAGCTTCAGATACCTACGTGCTAACACTTCGGTGCCTGATTAGTGGCTGATTAGCGCTGTTCATTGATAAGTCCAGTTTCTGCTTACAGCTGTTGGATAGTAGGGTAAAAGGGATGAGATATTGTGGAGAACACTATGCTGATGGATGCACCAGTAGGGTACAACTCCCTTACTGGAAAAACCAGACTGTCAACATTGTAGATGATATCAATGCAGAGAGATGTCAAGATGAGATTTTGCAACCAATAGCAATCCCATATCTCCACAGTCTAGGACTGAACTCTATCCTCCAAGATGACACACGCCAACCCCACCGAATGCTTGTGGGATCAGCTTTTACATGCTTTTCGTGTCAGAGTGACCTTGCTTGTTAAATAAGTAAGCCATTAATTTGTCCAATATGTGTTGTTTCTTCTGGTTTCAATCATCCAATTCAATAAACACCAGACAAAAGCAGACAGCAAAACTCACATACTCAACTCTGCTGCTCAACCCATAAATACAACAAAAAATGCAAGTTTTTAATCATTTCTAATGTTTCTCAGAGTTGTTCAGTATAAGGGTAACTGTTTAAGGATAGCCTATCTTGTAGAATTTGATGGTGCTATTGCTGTGTTTTAGTTTCACTCAGCATGTATGTAAAACAGCAGTACACGCTGCTGCCATGTCCTGCTGTGAGGAGCACTGATACTCCAGCTCCCCTATGATTGCCTCCTGCTGACTCCGGTGTGCCGCTGCCTCATCAAAACAAGTCTGGACCTGACAACAAATCAGCATCATACAGATATATTTCAAATCATCCTCCCCTAAATACCTGACAACATTGGTGAAGGGGGAATTTAATTTTCCATTACATTATATTTTTAAACAAAAACAAAAGAAAATATCAGATGAAATATGATTATTCAGTTTTTAAAAAAATAGTAAAAAGTACTTTAATTACATACAAAAAGGTTTATAGTGGTCATTTATGAGCTTTAGCGATGCTACTAGGTTGAGTTTTGCTCACACAGAGCAATACTTTCTGTTTCCACCTGTATCCTGTCTTTGTATTTGGCTAAGCTAAGTGAGTACTGAATCCACCTACATATCGCACAAGCTAATAATCTTCTCATCTAACTCGCTAAGGAAGATCAAATGAATTTCAATGCATTTCTTTAATGCCATGCCCTGATACTGAGTCATTGGAAGTAGCAGAACTAGAAAAGCTTTTCTTTCCTCAAAGTCTGCCACTAAAGTCAGATAACCCTAAATGAGCTTTACTAAACTGTACTAATTTAATAATTGTGGATTAAAAGCACCAATCATTTGAAGCCATTTTTCAGTCCATCGTCACATCTGTGACTGCAACAGCTGTTTTGTTATTCAGGCTGAATGAAGCTGGGATGAGAGCTGTGTGTGAGAGCCCTTCAAACATCCAGCTGCTTTGGAATCACTAGGGGAGCAGATGTACTAATTATGGGCATATTGTGAGACAGGAGATGAACACAGCGCAGTGTTTGATCATTAGCCCACCGCAGTGCTTCTAACAGGAGGTTATTGTAGGCCCTCCCCTCTTATTTAGCCCTTGATGGAGCTCCATGGTAACAGTGTGCAAAGACACTGCTCGATGACAGCGAGAGGCTGAACTGACAGCAGCCTCTGTAGGTCGACTGAGGTGAACTAACGTAACCTGAAAAATAGAAAGAAGAAGAAAAAACACACGCTGTGGTTGGTTTCCTGAGTTTAAAAATGAATTTAATGATATATGTACGCAGAAGGTTTTAGCCAAAATGTTTAGGGCACTGGCATTAGACTCACTAGTGTGAGAGAAAACATTATTTCATTTAGGTTTCCCAAACAGGACACAATACACTTTTTTCAGTACACTATTGGGGCATGAATAAATAGGTAAACAGGTGTTAACAGTAGCACAGATTAGGCTTCTTTCCCAACCGGTCGTGGGAGATGGCGGCCCCTCTCCGAGCCTGCTTCTGCTGGAGGCTTCTTCCTGTTGAAAGGGAGTTTTTCCTCACCACTGCCACCAAGTCCGTGCTCAAAGGGGGATTGTGTAATTGCTCGAGTTTTGTCTGTATTACTGTAATGTATTTACCTTATAATATAAAGTGCCTTGAAGCAACTATTTATGTGATTTAGTGCAATAAATAAAATATATAAATTTAAAACTGATTAGATTGAATAGATTGAATTATTCGGCTGTAGAGTTTGAATTAATGTCATAATTAAAACCTGTCTTTGCTTTTTCATATAAAAGAATGACTGCTCTGAAAAAGGTCTACTATAGCTGGAAAACCCCCCCAACTCAAAATCAACCACTGTCTGGATTCCTGAAACCGGTTTCTCTTCCCCTTTGTTGTTTTTTTTCTCTTCCTGAATTATAGCAACTGTTACACATAAGGTTTGCTGTCACACATAAATAATACTTTGGTGTAATTAGATTACACCTTGGTACCCCAGGTAACTCGCCTAGGTGTTAGTAACAGTCCCATAGAGTCTGAAAATTTAAGTTAAAAGGCACGCAGAAAACTCGTCCTCTGCAAAGGCTCTGACAAATGCAGTTTGAAAGAAAGTGGTTTGGCTTAACAATCATTTTTAATATGCTGCCCACGCTGCACCTCTTCACCATGTTCAAATAAAAATTGGCCCCTAGCTTCTATTTAATCTCCCTGAGAGACAAACAGGTGAGCCACAATAGTTCATTTATAGTTTATTACTTATTATTTATCCATATCATTTAACACCGGGCATTTTTACCTAAATGGACTTGCTTAGAAATGTAAGTAAAATGTAGCAACTTCCTCTTCACAGACTACAGAAAATACAGACAGCAGAGTCATTCATTAAATCTAGTGGGAGTGATGAGTAAATTAGAAAGAAAAATACCTTCTGGCAGCTCACTGGATACAAGCAATAAGATGTTGCAATAATAATTTAAAGGCAAGTCCAGACTTCAAGGAAGTGCTTCTAAAACACATCATGTGTAGTTGAAACCTAAATCGTGAACAAATTTATTGTACTCGGTATAAAACAGGTATACTGAATTTGTTCTACCTTTTTACTATTGTTTTCTAGGGGAAGTGTTATTTCTACTTAAAAGAAAAAGAGGAACTTTGCCCTCATTGAAATGAGTCCACAGACAATTAGAAAAAAAAATGCTCCATCGGTTGAGTATCACTAGTTTCTTGAGCTAGTAAGTTACTTTGCATATTACTGGTAATGAGAAAAAAGGCAGCAGAAGTGAGGTGAAGCTGAAAGTGTAATATGATACTATTATTTACTGCTTGTGCATAACAATGGATTGGCAGCACATCGTGAAAGAGGTTGAGTCTTATGATGGAACCTCATATGACCCCTGGATTAAGGAAGTGCCAGCCATTAGACACCTGTTCATTTATATATTTTTAGTTTTACATCAATAATTCAGTGTATTACAGTGAATGGGGATAGTTCAAACACAGAGGGTTAGCTCCTCTGAGGTTACAACTTTAACGCCAAACACAAAATCTTGAGGTTATTTCCTGGAGGCCAGCCTTTATCTCTTCCTCCTCTGGATTTCACAAGAGCGTGGATTCCCAGAAAAGTAATGAGGAAAGGAGGGAAAAATGCAAAGTCATGCTACATAAGTGGAAGCTTCACATTCTGTGGGACTGACTGAAGTGGCTTCAGTTCACGTTCTGAGCGCAGTTATCGCGAGATGTGAGTCGTTTTATAAATCTCCCCCGGAGCCCGAGTCTCTTACCTCCTGCACTCCGTGGGCCGTGACTGTGTGGTGTGAAGAAAAAAAGTGAGGTATGTGACACTAACGAACATGTAATTGTGTTCTTTAGAGTCTTAACCTTAAAAGGACATTTTTCCTTATTGGTTGTGAAGTTTGCAGTTGTGTAGCCGAAGCTAAAGCGATATTTCAACAAGTGGGTTTTTCCTACATGTGAAAAAAAAAATCGTTTTCAGAAACTCGGAGAAAATGATGGCTCGTTGATAATTTGTTTCCGTTTCAGTGAACGAAAGAAAGAGCCCGTGTGTGGCTTGTTTTAGAGTCAAGGAAATATTTGAGAGTTTTGCTACAGCTGCAAACCAAACTCACACAACTAACCCAGGTGGTTTAATCCCTGAAGATGGAAGTTATATGGCGAAAGAAGGGTTAGAAAACAGGTGTAACTAGTTATAATCTAACACATTAGAGTCGAAGTGGAAGTGCTTTGCGGTTTTATGTTTTTGCCACCTAATATACTGTGCGCCCAATAATAGGTGTTTGAGCTGAGGTGGTGAGCTGCCATGCGCCTTTAATTATACACTTCTCTATAATACAAGCTTATACAGTTAAACGGTTTGCAATGTTGAAATTTTGTATGTTATTGTTCTATCCCACTGTGTTCACAGTGATTTATATAAATCTATCTATCTCTCTATCTATCTATCTGCGTGTGTGTGTGTGGGTGTGTGGGTGTATAGATTCGAGCTTTAATAAAGAGAGGGGTTAAATAAAATAAATAAATAAAAAATGCAAGTGCACTTTTTTTTTGCTCTCCATAAACATGAAGCAATCATTTTGAGTAAAAAGCAATTAAAATATATAAAATCAAAGGTTTATTCATTCCAGTAATTAATCATTAGGGAAATGTGCCTGGTATAAACTGAATGAATGCATACTAATCAAGTGCATTTTATTTAACCAAATTTCCCAAATGTAATGTTTTACATTGTACTTAAGTAACACATTACATGGAAGATTTACATGCAATAAAATTACTTAAAGTCTGCATTTTGTGTTTACATATTTTTTTGAATGTATTAATATATTAGCTAATATTGTGTCTATATACACAGTAGATATACTTAAAAGGAGGACTTAAAAGGGAGCAGCCAAAAGAAGAGGAAGAAGAAAAAGAAGAAGACAGCTGCTGACTGTAGAAATGCCACAGACAGTGGAAACCACAGCTAGATTTGCTCTGTGGAAAAAGAAACATGCTAACATAACTTATCTCCAGCATCTGTTAGGTTTCTAAGCTTTCCTACTGGCCCATGCTGAACAACCTATGCATACTGGTTATATATTGGTTATTAACACTGGCCTAGTCAGTCTCTATTTATAATCACATTGGATAAAGACAAACAACAAATCCTCCTGTCGGAGAAGCTGAAACTAAAGCGTTTTTAGTGTTGTAGATTTAGGACTACTTCATCCAATGCCAGTTAGGGTTAGGAAAAAAAAGGTGGTTTGTTTTCACCTCATTGACTGATTTCTGTGTTATAAGCTCCACACATCATATCACTCAGGTTTACTTATTTGGATTATTGAGCATGCATCAACAAATGCATTCATTGTTTAAAGGACCTTGTCAGTGATAAGTGTATTTAAACTGAGCTGGTTGGTTGACTAAAAGATTCATTTGTAACTACTTTGATTGTGGCAAGATTTATACTTGGGATGTGCGCCACTTGTTGCCTAGCCAACTAATTGTCGTTGTTGTGACTAGTTGCTACCAGACTTACTAGTCATATATTCTAACTGTTAAAATTTTATTCGATATCCAATGGCAGTAAATGATTGTGTCCTAATTATTATGCTGCCTTCTACCACTAGATGGTGCATTTTTGTTGAGAAACACCTGAAATCTTTTAATCTAGGCCTCATCTTTTTGTTAACACTATTAGAATGAGATCGTCGATACAAGCAGCCAAAATTAGTTTTCTCCAAAAGGCAGATGGACTCTGCCTTAGCGATAGGGTGAGGAGTTAAGTCATTTGGGAAGGTTTCAGAGTAGAGCTGCTACCCCTCCTTATGCACACAGAAACAGCACAGTGTAACACCGACTGCTTTCTTCTTCTGTAATCCAATCAGATTCAAGATGTCTGCAGGCAATGCACAAATTGGAAAGCCGGCCCCTGATTTCACTGCCAAAGCGGTGATGCCGGATGGACAGTTCCACGATCTGAAGCTGTCAGACTACAGAGGTAAAGGACAACCTGCGTCTCACCTTCTGTTTGACATGCTTTGATGGTCCTCCTCTCTGCGATTCATTGTTTTGTGATCCTGCAGCATATTCAGCAGAGATTAATTTACACTACAAAGGATGAGAATTAATTAAAGTGATGCATTCACTAGTCTCATTGGTGCTTTTTTAATGCTTTGGTACAGGAAAGTACGTCGTGTTTTTCTTCTACCCGCTGGATTTCACCTTTGTTTGTCCGACTGAGATAATCGCTTTCGGTGATGCTGCCAGTGAATTCAGGAAGATTGGATGTGAGGTCATCGCCGCCTCAGTGGACTCACACTTCTCCCATTTTGCTTGGTATTTAAAAAGCTTTGTATTTTACACATCCACAGTGACCATATTCATTTTTATTAAGTCCTCATACTATCTTTTGGTGACCGCGCAGGGTCAACACACCACGTAAGCAGGGTGGTCTAGGTACCATGAACATCCCCCTGGTGTCTGACACACGGCGCACCATCTCCAAAGATTACGGGGTCCTGAAAGAGGATGAGGGCATCGCCTACAGGTGAGTCTAATAATGTGGAGTCCTCAAAGGGCTTTTAAAGGAGACCTAGGAGCTGATAATTCTCTCTATTACAGGGGTCTATTCATCATTGACGACAAGGGCATCCTGAGACAGATCACCATAAACGACCTCCCAGTTGGACGCTCTGTTGAGGAGACCTTGCGTTTGGTTCAAGCCTTTCAGTTCACAGATAAGCACGGAGAAGGTATGGTACTCTGCTGTGCCCGTGTAATGTCTGCATTCTGGGTCTTGATTTTAAATTCTGTTTTCTCGCCCTGCCTTCTACAGCTCACATTTACTTGCAGTGAAAAACAGCTTTTTACCAAATTATAACTTTTGAATGTAAACTAGCTAATGGTTTTTCAGAAATAATGTGTGGCAGAGAGTGCAAAGACCGCAGAGGCTTATTTAAATTCAAAGGTTTGCACTCTTATCTGCGCAATGTATCATGATCTCACAAACTGTAATTTTAGTTGCCTGTTTTTGCATGCAGAACAGAGTTGGTTTATTTTTAAGGTGCAACATGTGTGTCATTTTTGCACACCTGCATTTCATCTACCAGCCAGGACTTATTATAGTCTTATCTTTTCAGTCTGCCCCGCCGGCTGGAAACCAGGAAATGACACCATCAAACCTGACGTCCAGAAGAGTAAAGATTTCTTCTCCAAGCAGTAATAAGCCCAAGGCCCGAGTCTGCTATCTGCTGTAGGAGATTTAATTTTGTGATTACATTTCGAACAATATTTACTGAAGCCGTTGTGCCTGTGGACGAGTGAGCCAGCTGTTGTAGTTGATGTGCTGTTTGTGTTTTGTTGTTTGTAGCGTGAACAGTGCACTTAGACCAAAGTATGTAATTGTGTTAAAACACTGCAATTATGTATGGTGTATTCACAGTCTGACAGAGCCAAATGTGTGTTTGTTCTCTCATGTCATTCCCCATTATTGTTACATACAAAGGACCAAATTGTCTGAAGCATTTCACTAAAATTAAGTAGAAATTCACCTGCCTATTATGTATTTATGTATCACGCTTACGCGACTTTTTATGGTATTGTTGAGCACATTAAGAATATTTTGGAATGATGTACATTTACTCAGATACGTTATAAATTACACAATAGCACAAGAGAATCTATGATTCCTTTATATTTATTGCATCTTTTTCCTCAGTCAACAGTTATAACACACGGTTAAACAACAAAAACAGGCCAATGCTGAATTATGTCCATGTATGAAGATCTTTAATAAAGCAAACAACAGTTTGCATTTTTTCTTGATTGTCAGTTTTCTTACACCCATGTCACACATTATTAATATATAGTAGGTGTTTGATTACAACACAATTGATCCACATAAACTTTAAAACAAACTGTCCAAACAACTGAAAATGCCAGTGTAAGTTAACAATGAATCTATTTTTTTCCTTTTAACAGACCTCACAGCAGACACTTTGAATTTGTCAAGGGATGAAAAAGTAGTGAAATCAATGCTATGTTTAGGCTAAGTGTTTTGGATTCACTGAACCTCTCTATTACATATTCTTTTTTACTAGTCTAAAAGACACAAGGATATAATTATTATTTATAATTGTTACACCATACTTATCCAGTTAATGTAAAGCTGGCAAAAAGAAAGCACCTGTAATGGCCATGCCTACAGGTCTACATCAGGGATGTCAAACTCATACATCGTGGGCTACATACAGCCCATTTACATACCGCAAACCCACTATGACTACATTTTTAACCCCACTTTATATAAGAAAAATAATTGCATTTTCATTAGTATGTCTCAGTTTACCCAGAAAAGTAGTTTATAATTCACAGAAAATGTCTTTTTTTCTTCTTCTAAGGAGCCATTGTGAAATTAGATCATTTTTTAAAATTTTTGTGTATCACTTATTACTTTAGCGTAGTATGAATGACCACAGGAGAGGTCTTTATCAGTAATAAAAGCTGTAAAACCTTTAACAATACAGTTAAAAGTCCAAAATCTATGTCCTCCTTCACATTTTCCAGAACATTCCAGTGGGTTGGACTGGAACCTTTACAGGCCAGTTCAGCCGCCCCTGGTCTAGTCTTAATGTATTTGACTCAAAGAAATAGACCAATGTAAACCTATTATGTGTGAAGAATTTGAAAAATTAAAAACTTTTTTTATGGTTTAACAATTTTTTTATTCCTATATTTTAAAGTAAGGTCAGTTTCCCTGACCTTGTTTCTTTCCTACGAAGTTAAGAAAAACTGGACCAATCCCGAGTGCGCCATGTTTTTTGGGCGGGAAAAATGGATCGCTAACTTGCTAGCTCGTTTATTGTTTAGTAGTACCACCTAGCTAACCACCGGCCAAAGGAAAGAAGGAGAAAATGGCAGCTGGGAAGATGTGCATGAAGAAAAATAAGGAGGAAACTGCCGAGGTTTGAATTCACCACATAAAAATGCCATATTTTAGATGTTATTTACGCAGTGTTTGTATTTCTAAGTTTCTGTTTAACGGATCCGTGCTGGAAGATGTTTAAGGCAGTCAATGGCGACATCTCGTGGCCATGGTACGACTGTGAACATGTTTTCTCCTTTCTTTTCTTTTATTTAAAGTGGACGGAGTTATTCCCGAACGACTTTAAATCTGCGCAGGAGTCTTTACTCTTTGTGAAAAGGATGATGGTCGTGGCTGTCTCCTCTATCACCTATCTCAGGGGTATTTTTCCAGAGGATGCCTACAGATCCAGATATCTGGAAGGTGAACATTCAGAGAAACTATTGGACAGGACTCTAGCTAGGAGTTTAATAAAATCAGCATTCGGTGAAAAAAATGTACACTTACTGGATGCTTCATAAGGTAAAATACACCTATTCAATTAAAAACGTTTCCTGGTCTGATAATTTCAGGTGGTAGGTTCAGAATTTAGCTTCAACAATATGAAAGCATGGATCCGTCCTCCCTTGTATTATTGTTTGGGCCTCTTAAATCCCCCAAAGTGTGCTAAATTTAAATGCCACAGCTTACTTTAGTATAGTCTCTGACGTATGTTCGTACCACAAAACTCAAATAATCTCAAACTCGTACATAACAATGAGTTCACTGTATTCCAGTGGCCTCTAAAGAGCATTTTTGGGATGTGGTGTTACCAGAGATTCAAATCATCAATGTGAAGCCAACAAATCTCTGTCTTACTACTTTTAATCACTGACTATAAAGGGCTGTTTTCTTTTTGTTGTTTTGCCAGATTTTTGCATCAAAATCTTGCGTGAAAGCTGCAACACTCCTGGTGCAGCCAAAATTGTGAAATGGTAAATATAAAATCCCTGCTTTAATGCTAAGAAAATGTACAGAAGGAGAGTTTTATTACCCTGATTAATATTTGCAAGTGTCCTTATTTGTTTTGTTCAGGTTGATGGGCTGTTTCGATGCATTAGAGAAACAATACGTAAGTCGAGCCTATCGTTCAACTTTCGAAATATGTAATAATTAATGTGTGGTGCCATTAATATTTTTGTTACTTTTATTATTTTGTATGTTATTCTCTGGACAGCTCCAGCTTGTGTTCATTGGGGTGAGTGTATATGTAACATGAAAGAGACAATTTCCCGGTTACATAGACATGTCTAAAACTTACGATTGTTACAATCCAGGTCTGCGCTGATCCTGATGAACCCAATGTAAGTTCTGTTAAATTACTGAATATTCAAATTACACCAGCATGTGGCCTGATCAGAAATGATAAAAAAAAACGTATGTCTTACTTTACATTGTCTTACTTTGCAGCGGATAATTGAGTCCTACCACTTCAAATTCAGATACAGTGCAAAGGGACCAGAGATGGACATACTCAGGTAGGAATAAGTTTAAGCATGCCACACAGACTGAGCCCTACCCAGCTGACTGGCTGAAGCTGATATAACCTCTGTGCAAACACAGGAACAACGGTATAAAGATGCAAGTGACCATGGACGACACCAAAAAGGCTTTGGTGCTTCTCATCAGGAAGCTCTTTCTGCTTATGCAGAACCTGGACGCCCTCCCCAGCAACGTCTACCTGACCATGAAGCTCTACTACTATGATGAGAGTAGGATACGTACTTTTAATGAATATCCTATATCTTTGTGTCTTTTAGACTAGAATTTTCCTACTAAAAACTAAAAATATTATACTGTGCTCTTCTTTCAAAGTCACCCCTGCTGACTACCAGCCGCCTGGTTTCAAAGAGGGCGAGTGTGACAGTCTGTGGTTTGAAGGCGTGGCCGTGAACTTCAGGGTTGGTGAGGTGGAGACGCCCTTTCACACCTTGAAAATAGCTGTGTCAGCAGAACAGGATCGGGTGGAGAAACTTCAGAAAGGAAATCATTTGGGGGAGACTAAGCAGGTTTCTCAGGGGGCTTTTCCAGAGAAGGAAATTGAGAAGGTAGGCTACATAAAGGGGACTGTTTAAGTACTGGATGATATCTTTATAACAGTCTCAATCCTGTTTACAAATGCAACTGGCAGTTTATGATAATATTCTTAAACATTTGGTTACAGAATCCTCCCAAGAAAATATATGAAGGAGAGGATCTACCTTCTGAAGACGGTGAGTCTATCAGGGCTGGGCGATTCATATTTCCCAAGAAGCCACATGAGAACTGTACAAAGGAGTATTGGGGGCTATATTAAGAAAAAAAATATTCATTTTGAGAGTACAAAGCTGATTAACGTCGTTGTTTCAAGTCTGCCACAGCTGCTACACTCTGCAAAATGCCTTGTGTTGATGAATTACTGAAATCATACTTCAGAACTGGTTTTAACAGCAAGGAAATTATTTCTCTTTTAGCACATAAACACAGTGTGCTGATGGGTATGAGGATGTTGAAGAGATGGTACAGAAAGCCTCATCTGATCAAAGGAAAAACCACACAAACTCAGAAAAGTTGTCTGGATTTATGCAAAATGACATGCCTGTCAAGTTAGAAATGCAAGGATATCAATGGTTACACATTCTTGCATTAAAGAGGACGTATGCTGTGTCATAAGCCACAGTAAGACAGCTGATCAAGTTTTTCCACCAACTACACTACAAAGGCATTTTCGGGCATCGGGTATAGCAGCCGTGGGAGTTGTTTAGCTTGAAACAACAGCCTGTATCTTCACATTTCAACTTTATTCTCAAAGTGAATAATATTTTTTTTCTTAATGTGGCACGAATACTCTGTTGTAGAACTTTGGGCTGTTATGGAAGGCAAATAAAATCTATATTGAGCAGGATTAAGTTCACACAAGAGATGCAGCCCTCCACAACAGTCCCACTTTCTCATGCATTGGGAAAACTGATCGCCTACCCTGGATGTGCTGCTGCTGTTTAAACCCTCCCCCTAAAACAAAACAAAACATAAAAGTGAACAAAAGACTTACACTGCTGACTTTCCTCTAAACAGAGTCTGCACAGTTTAAGAAACCAAGGCAGCCCATGGCAAAGGTACAGTGGTACTAAACTGTAACAAAATCTAAGAAATCATAACATATTTGAGCTTCATTAATAATAATTATTAATTCTCCAACTGTTTACTTTTTTGTCTGTTTTAGAGGACTGCAGCTGCCAGAAATCTTGCAAGAAAGAAAAGAAGAATCTAACCAACAAGACAAAAGATGTGTGAACAACCTGTTCATTTTAGTATGACGTTATTTTACAATTCACGTTATTATCAAATGTGTTAGACAGGTTCCTTTGATAGTTCACTCTACCCAGACATTGCTGTTGCAGTTTTATTTCACACTACACGCTATAACATTCATAATTCATATAAAAGTACTTCGGTTTTCATTTAAGTGTACAAAAATAGTTTCATGTGTATAGTTAATAAAATAAAGCTTGATTGTAAACATTGTTGTGCAAATGCATAAAATACGTTGAGAATCATCTCATTTACATAAATGGCCAAAAAAGGTAACCAAGCACAAAACTCAATATGAAACTCATTCGCACTCAAGTAGCTAAAATCAGTCACGATTTAGATTTAAATCACAAAGCTAAGAGCTTGAATTAGATTGAATTGGTTCAGAATGCAGTTTTAGTGCCTACAATGTGTTATATTTTCCTGTAAATTAGAAAAAAAAGTGTGGATGATTTGAGCACATTGATCAAAGACTGTTAGTCGTTATTTGAAGCACAAATAGTTGATAGTTTTTCCTTGACTGATGGGAGATTTCCTGATCTAGAGTCTCTGTCTCAGTGCACAGCTCTGGCTTCCTGTGGCTGGGTGGTCTAGAAAAGGCTGTCTACATCGCCCATCTCCACAAACACAGTCTTCAGTTGGGAGTAAAACTCGATCGTCACCTGGCCGTTCTCCCGCCCTATGCCTGGGGAACATAAGGGTCACAAATGTTTGAGTTTGATTAATAAAAAAACAAAACAAAGTAATGATTTGCCGTTCACATTTAGCTCCTGGCCAGCTTGAAAACGTGAGTGTACCTGACATTTTGAAACCCCCAAAAGGCACCTCCACAGGAGTGATGTTGTAGTTGTTGATAAAACAGGAGCCTGCCTTTAGATGTTCAACCACTCTATGGGCTCGCCTCACGTCCCTGCAGAACACGCATAAAAGTTGATTCTGTTCATAAACAGAATCAACTTTGGGAGAATTACTTACCTGGATAATTGAGAATGCATCAAGACAAATTTAAAATAAATAAATTCAGACACCAAAGCAAAAGAAGAGGCTGACATACGCGATCTTTTGGTTGTTTGTCAGCAAGGTTTCGCCAAAACAACCACATGAACAAACAACTACATGAAACATGCTGGAGAGCTGAAGCATGGGAAAGAAGGGACCCACTGAGTGTAGATGACTTTGTTTGAGGGATTAGGGAATTGTATGTGTATGTGATACACTGGGACTCAGATTAAGTGACTTCAATTACTGGTTGGTTTGTAGCTTTAAATGTGGTTTAAAAAAAAGAAGAAGAGAATTTGCACATATAACAAACCAACCTGGTAAAAACACCTGCAGCCAGACCCAGTGAAGTGTCATTAGCCCTCTGCAGCACCTCGTCTTCTGTCTCAAAGGGTAGCACAGACATGACTGGACCAAAGATCTCCTCCTTCACACAGGTCATGTCATCAGTGCAGTTACCTATGAAGGGGTAAAATTAAAGGATTTCAATCCACTGACTTCAGAAAACTTGTGGTGTTGCAGTTAAATTTAGTAGGGGGAGATAGTTTCCAGCACCGTAACAAAATGCAAAAATAGAGTATTTTATAGAAGGTCTACCTAATATGCATGGCGTCATGTAGTAGCCTCCTCTGAGCTTGGGATCAGATGGGACATAAGATTCACCCCCACACAACACTGTAGCGCCCTAGTAACAATGCAATCCAAGTTAAAGTTGCTGCACATAATCCTACTGGTGTACACCTGACAAAATAAAAAGAACTCCTCGAACGAGTCTTACCTCTTTTTTTGCTCGATCAACAAAAGACAGGACTTTATCCAGATGTGGTCGGCTGACCAGTGCCCCCATTCTGGTGCTCTCTAAAAGAGGGTCTCCTATTTCGATCGCTTGGGTCCTCTTTACCACCTCCTTCACAAACTCAGGCAGAATATCCTTCTGAACAAAGACCCTCGTACCATTGCTGCACACCTGTGATGCACATATACAACACTATCAAGTAACAGGCTTCAATGTGAACCAGACAAAAGCTGAACCATAGCGTGATGGTAAAATATAACAGCATATGAAAAAAAAAGATACACTACCTGGCCTTGAGACAGGAAGTTGGCCATGAGAGCTCCCCTCACAGCGTTCTCCAGATCACTGTCCTTAAATATGAGCAGTGGAGATTTTCCTCCAAGCTCCAATGTCACTGGTTTGACCCCCTTAGATGCCATCTCCATGATCTGTGGCACAAAAGCAAATGGAAAAACATCCAGTTATTAGGACATATAAAGAAGATGTTGGCATCGTTACCACGAAATTTACAAATCCCAATTGTTTACTATTAAATGTCCTAGTCACAAGAAGTCTAAAATACCACGTACTTTCCGTCCTGTGGGCACACTACCAGTAAAAGACACCTTAGCAACATCAGGGTGTTGACACAGGAGACTGCCAGTTTCCTGGCCCCCCTGGACCACATTGAAGAGCCCCTCTGGAACTCCGGCTTTGGCGTAGATCTCTGCCAGCATGACTGCTGTCACAGGTGTCACCGGTGACGGTTTAAACACCATGGAGTTACCTAATATGGAAAAAAGATAACAAAGAAAAACATGGATTGTTTGAATTCTTTTAATAAGTCTGCACATTCAGTAGTATCAGTCTCCGTGGAATGCTATCTAAAGGTGAAATGCTGTAATTATTTTCTGAACCGTTTTGTGCTCAAATGAATTACTGACTTTAAAGATGGTACTGCACACGTTTTAGTAGCACAGCAGTTAATGTCAAGTGACCTTACAAAATATAGTCTTGCTGTTCATTTGCTAGAACGTGCAGTTATCCTAACTTCAGATGCCCTTTCCTCACCCCACAGTCTAACTTCTTTTTTTTTGCCTGTCCCATTTGGATCTTTAGCCATGAGAATTGTTGTCTGAAGGCCAAGAAAGAGAGGGAGATGAAAGAAAACAGAGGGGAGAAGAGATGGTGAAAAAGGGGGGAAGAAAAAAAAAAGAAAAACCAAAAAAAACAACAACACCTGGATCACCTGTATGGAGATAAAAAAAAACAAAAACAGAAGAGAAAACAAACAAAAAAAGAGCAACATAATAAATACAACACCATCACAATAAACTAGCTAACAGTAGATAACAGTAGATACTAAATATTACATGTTATTGTGCAGTACGCAAGATCGACAGTGCACAATGTGCTTTGAGGTAGCAGCCAAGAAAGGTG